TGGTTGCAGGCGATGTCGTACCTGACATTCCAAGACCCAACCTTTCTTTGCATAAGTCCGTCAAACGGAGATTCTAAACCCTAAACCCTAAACCCTAAACTCTAAACCCTAAACCCTATTCTTCAGGATCCGAGTAAGCCAGAAAACCTAAACCCCCAGACCCATGAACCAAAACTGAGCTCTGACCTGCTTTGGACCCAAGGCATGCAGTCCCGGGGTTTAGGGTTTAGGGTTTTGGGGTTTAGGATTTAGGGTTTAGGGTTTAGGGCTTCGGGCTTAGAGGCTTTAGGGTTGGAAACCCCTGAGACTGAAAGGTGAAGTATTACACACGGCGAGTTACACCAAAAATGGATAAGCACAACCACAAAGGACAACGAGCCCTGCATCTTGAATCTTTTAGCATCTCCGAGGTCATGAGCATGCTATGGCTGGCCGTTTTTGCCTACTGCGTGGTGGCTGCCTGCGACGGGATCCATCAGGCCAGCTGGCAACTATCGTCGATGTTTCCGGTTCAGGTTTTCCGACGTCCAGCTCGAATCATCGCATCTAAGCAGCTTCTTCGGATTACAGTGATCTAGCGAGGCCCTCAAGACAGCTACTCAAGCGACTGGTGTTCCAGGGAGAGGAGAACGGGTCTCGGAGATTTGGGATTCGGAGGTTTAGGGAATATAGAGCTGAACCCTAAACCCTAAACCCTTAAACTCTAAACCCTAAACCCTAAAACCTAATGAGTTGAGTTTACCATTCGGGGTCTAGGAGGTTTAGTCAGTTTAGGGTCTTGGGGAATCGGCCGTGATGTAGTCGGAGGTGTCACCCTAAACAAACCCAAGACGAAGGACGACTGCACCTTAGGAGCCCAATAGGTAAACTTTAAATCTTTGCATGACATGGTCGTTTCTTTATATTTAGAGAGGTTATTTGCTGCTTTAATGGAATATTTTGCTCCTTTGTAAGAGTGGTTTTTGCTCCTTATCCCGCTTAACCTTATTTATCTTTCTTCTAATAGGTTCGTTCATCAGTTTCTTTATGACATGAGATTTCCTTCCTACCTTCGTTCATTCACCAATCCTGGTCCTGTTCTCCCATTCATATCTTTCTCTTTCGTTGCTTACTTTTCTTTAAATAAAACACAAAGAGGAATGAAATGAACGTATGCGTGGTTTTATTTAATAATAAGAAAATGTAAGCCACAAAAGACCCAGATTATGATGTGAGAAGTGAAGAGAACGGGTGAACGAAATGGTCCTTTTTCCCATTATTTTCGTGCTTACATTACAAAATATTGACTCAAAAGGACCAAACTCTAGTTCACCCTTTCGCTTCACGACACCCGCGATCCAGAAGTCCAAAGGTAAAAGTAATGAGTGGTAAAGTTGAATAGAATTATAATGAAATGAGAGAATCGAATGGAAGCATGAATTCTATTCTCCTTTAACACATTACATTACCTTTGATTATAATAGGAAATATAAAGAGAGCGTGCTGTGTTTATTTTTATTGAATTAAAACAAATGAGTGAAAGGAATGCGTGTTTCATTCAATTAAAAATAAATTCAGCACCAATTTCGTTCCTTTCTTCTTTGTTTCTTTGCATTAATTCTCGCACTTCTTTGAAATTAATGCAAAAGAAACACAGAAGAAACTCTCTTCATATGTTAACATCATTTTCCTGTTCCTAAATTTTAATTGTGTTTTGTTTAATTTGCAATGGAACAAAGAGGAAGCGCGAAATTAAACACAAAACACAACTAAAATTTGGGGTTCCTTGTTTTCTCGTTTGTCTTCTTTCACGCATTCACTTCGTTTATTTGTAAAGAAGCAAACAAGAAAAATAGGAACAAAATATGATGAACGAAGATAATGAGCGGAACGGTGCTTTCTCTTCTCTTTTCTCTCTTTCTCTTTCGTTTGCAATGAATTAAAAGAAGCGTGAAACGAAAGAGAAGAAGAGAAAAGGAAGCGAAAAGGAACACCGTGCACTCTCTTCATCATCAACTGTGGTTTACTTCTCGTTTCGTTTCTCTTCTTTCTTTTACTCTTTTCACGCTTCCGCTTCTCTACATTGTAAAAGAGCCAAAAGAAAGAGGAAACGAAGAGAGAAGAAAGAACACGGATGATGAAGGAGAGCTGGTGTAGTGACTCATTACCAAAGATGAACACTGAAGGAACCAGCCGCCTCTCATCTCACCACCTACGAACGCGTGTCACTAAATAATAGGAAGCCCATGAATTCACGCATCATTTCGCTCATTCCTCGCTCTCATTCTTTGTAATTCCTGGTAACTGCTTCCTCTGTCATGTGGCTTTGTCCCCTGCGGCTTAGGGGAATGAGTTTTGCATCCCAGAAGCAGTCTCTGCACTCCGGAATAGCAGACGGCGATCGCCCTGAAGTCTCCAAGACAAACCCCGAAGCCGCAAAAAGAAGGTTTAGGGTTTAGGGTTTAGGGTTTAGGGTTTAGGGTTTAGGGCTTTAAAACTGAACCCTATAAAAACCCAATCCCTCAACCCTGAACCCTAAACCCGAACGGAGCCCTGAACCGAAGCACGAAACCTCAGCCCTAAACCCTATAGACTCCTAAACCCTGAAACCCTCAACCCTCATCCCTTAATCTCTAAACCCTAAACCCTTAAACCCAAAACCCTTATAGATCCCTTTAAAGGCACCCTTATAGATCCCTTTAAAGGAACCCCTCCACTCCCCTCAAACTAAACTCTAAAACGAAAGCTGCAGGACTTCGGGATCTCCACGTCGGTCCTCGGACTTTCGGCCGGAAAAAAAGGAAGGGCTTCGGATGCTTGTGGCTTCGGATGCTTGCTTAGGGCTTCAGGGTTTAGGGCTCTAGGGCTTTAGGGTTTTAGGGTCTAGGGTTTAGGGCTTAGGATTTATGGGGTTTAGGATTTATAGGGTTTAGGATTTACGGGGTTTAGGATTTCTAGGGTTTAGGATTTAGGATTTGGGGTTTGGGATTTAGGGTTTAGGGTTTAGGGAGATGCTTGCGGCTCTGGGATTCAGGGTTTAAGAGGGTGCATGCTTTAGGGTTTGGGGATCTGGGGATTTGAGGCATTGGGGTTTAGGGTTTAGCGTTCAGGGAAGTGCAGGGTGTCGGGTTGGAGGACATGGATTTCTGAGGTAGGGCGTAGTAGGGTATCGCACTTATGACTTATGATGTATCGGGTTTGGGAAAGTTTGGGGCATCAACTTCAGGCTTTCATCGTACTCCTTCAAGCTGGCTGAAGGTCGAGATACCTCTTGTCCATGTGGGAGTTTCCGAAAATTAGGAGGCCTTATTTTGGGGGTCCTTAGAATAAGGATCCTATTATTTAGGGTATCATATTAGGGTCCCCTATTTTTGGAAATCCCCATGTAACTCTCTATCTACGACACACCGGTGTTGTCTCGCTCTGCTTCGTACCGTTCGATCCTATCAGCTAGCAGCGTGCCCATCTCTGCAACCACAACGCTTGAACCCAAAGCCCATCACTCTCAAGCCCTAAACCTAAACCCTAAACCCTAAACCCCTAAACCCTAAACCCTAAACCCTAAACCCTAAACCCTTGGACCCTAAACCCGATCTGTGCAGAAAGCGGCAGAGTCTTCCCACAGTTCGACTAAGGATACACCATTGCGGCAGCAGGGACATCGTTTCCCAACGTCTTCTCAGGGATGTGTGTTGCGAGGCAGGAGGGAGTTGCAGAAGTAGTATTTCCCTAGAGCCCCAGGTACATAACACATGGTTAGTTCTCGAAATTAAGGACTCTTTCCAGCGTAAGAGGGCGCCCCGCCCTCATTTGTAAACCTCCCTCGGAGAGGGCCCTGTTGTGGTGTTTCCAGCAGCCAGGAAAAGGAAGCCAAGCTTTGGAAGCCCAGCCGTTGATTGCGAAACGGTGGCTTTGAAAGGATAGCAGGCTTTGAAAGCCAATCCCTTGACTGCGAAAGCTTTGTTTTAGAAGCCAGAGGATTTCAACACCACAGACTTTGAGGGACTCAGATTCCATGCCTTCCTTGAAATTCCTTATTCCTAGGCCAAAAAATCAATCCATCCTGATGCAGTATTAGCAAGCTGGCGGCTGTACTACTGTATTGCTGTACTAGTGTACTGGTGTACTACTGTACTGCTGTACTGCTGTAGTACTGTAGTACTGTACTACTGTACTACACTACTACTGCACTGTATTACCGCACTGCCGTACTACGACGACCGCCCCCCCCCCCACCCAAGCATAAAGACATTCAACCTAGCCTGGGTCTGAAAACAATGGAGGTGAGGGAGCAGGTCATTAATAGGAAGGTCAGCATTAAATCTGAATCAAGATATGGGTAGTTGTCAAAATTATGGTCCCTTTTGGGGTACCCTAAATGATAGGTGCCGTATTATAATAAGGACCCAAAAAGGGACCATACTTTTGACAACCACCCATATACGCGCCCGAGGGCTCGGGCCGATCTCGAACTAGGCAGGGCAAGACTACCATGGCAGTTGCGAACGCCCTGGGCGCAAACGCCTTGGCCTGAGTTCAGTATCAGGTCTCCGGACTTAGGGTTTAACCCGAGTAGTTGAGATCGAGTCTGCATGGTTTCACAGGGTGTCCATGGGGTTTAATGGAGCGGACTTGATTAATGGAACAGAGTTTGGGTTTAATTGGTTTCCTAGTAGTAGAGTAAGTAACCTCTAACCTTTTCGGGGTACTACAGGGGCCTTAATAATTACCTAAATTATTTTGGGGGGTTCCTCCCAAGGGTCCTAATTAGCTATATGATACGTACTCAAACCATAGTCATCCAGTCAGGTGTTAGTTTCTTTATTAAATATGCACCAACAGCCTCTTCTAGTTTCAGGCTTGGAGGCTGACCACCCATAAACCCCCCACCACAACCCCGTAATGTGGGGCTCGGAACACTTCGGAACGTTGCTGTTGTATAGTTCCTACTCAACTGTACGACAACATACCCAACACCCGATTCTGACTACGACGGCTCCCACATTTCACTTACCTAAACCCCAACCCCCTGATCCTACCAGGAGTTGCAAGGTAACCTTTATGGATCCCGTATGGTGTCGAATACAGGGTTGTTTTTTTGAAGAGGGGGGGTATGTAAGTATCTTCATGCAAATCTTGAAACCCTCGACTCCCAAGACGGTAAACAAAGGATTCAGGATGATTCAGGGTTAAGGGGGTTGGACGTGTTTGACATTTCAGCTTCCATGCGAAGCACTATTTACTTCCTACGCCCCTGAACCTTAATCCCTAAGCCCGAAACCTGGACCCTACATCCTAACTCTACACTCTTTACCCTAAACCTGCTAACGTGTGAGGTCCAGAACGTTTTCCTGGCTTTGGCCATTCCCTGGGCGGTGCAATGCTGTATCAACAGGCTCCACTTTATTTCAGGATGTTTGAGGGTATGATGGGGTTTCGGACGGTTTTACTCTAGGGTTTTATTCTTGCTGTGTTGGGTTGTTAAAGGTTCTAGGTTCCTGAGTAGTACCCTTTTGCCCCTGTTTTTCTTGTGGTTCCTTTGTTAGAACTGAATAACATGGAAAAAGAGTATCCTGATCATGGAAACAGAGTACCCTTGTCATTAAGGGGTCACTCAGGAACCTAGATGTCCCTCAACCCCGAAACCCCTCAAAGACCTTCAGTAGGTGAAGCTTTTGTGGGTTCTGGTGTGGGTTGTGCTCCTGGAGTGTAAAGCTGACGGTGTAAACTTTGGCGATGCTGTAGGTAATACAGAGGTCTGACAGCAAACTGCAGCAGTGTCTCTCGAATGCCCCAAAGCCCTATTCTTAGTATTCCGGCCCTTATGGTATACACAAAACCCCAAACCCTACATACCCAGAACCCACTAAACCCCAAACTCTAAACCGCAATCCTTAAATCCTAATCCCCTAAACCTAAACCCCAAGCACAATACCCTCAACCCTGAAACCTAAAACCCTAAAACCTAAGCACAATACCCTAAGCCCTAAACCCTAAAGCTCTAAGCCAAAACCCGAAACACTCGAGACACAGGGATCATTGAAGGCCTTACGACTATGGCGTTAGGAATCTATGAGGGCTTCGGGCTTAATATGGGGGCCTAAATAATTCCTAAAACTATGTTGGAGGTTCCTTATTCTATTTTGAGTATAATATACTCCAAAACCCTATTCTGGTCTTTAAGGCTCCTACAGTAGGGTTTCGGGTTTAGGGTTGAGGGTTTAGGGTGGTTCAGGGTTTATGGTTTAGGGTTCTTAACCCCTTAGAGTGTGTTGTAGTAACAGTGTTCTTTTTTGGTACATTGTCCTATGTATTCGAAACAGTATAGCGCAGTGAAGCATGGTAGACTATATGGCTGTGTATCAGCATACTTCGGTATATGACAATGTGTTGTAGTGCATTAAACTGGGCAAGACAAACCCTGAACCCTCCACAGCTACATGCCCGCGGGAGTCGTGTTTGCAGACCCTCATCGGAAATCGAAGGTGTTGAAACCGAAAGCCAAGCCCCTAACGAGCTAGGCTCCAGAGTTTTGGGTTTGGGGTTTCGGGCCGGGAGGTATAGAGGGGTTTGGCTGTCGGGCTCGGGGTGAAAACGCTTCGACGGTCCGGCTCTCTAGTCATAGTTTTGGGGGTTCACATATAGAACCCTATAAGGTAATCCCCAAAAAGAAACTACTATGGGGTCTATGGGTAGTCTCTGGCAACCTTCGGGCTGCCTGGAATGCCAAACTGCGCGGACAACCCTCCACACCCAAACAAATTCACCCCTGACCCCTAAAATTTACAACTCTACCCTAAACCCTAAACCCTAAACCCTAAACCCTAAATCTCTAAACCCTAAATCCTTGAAGCCTAACAACGAAAATCCGCCTGGGCCGTGTCAGGGGCAGTTTCGACATGCCTTTCAATGGCCTGGCCCCTGCCGTGGTGGAGATCTACGCTCCTTGCCACTGCATACTTAGAGGATCCTGGCTTTAGGGTTTAGGGGTTCAGGGTTTAGGGGGTTTAGGGGTTTAGGAGTTTAGGGTTTAGGGTTTAGGGTCTCGGGTTTGGGTACTGCCCCTGCACAGTAACCGTCTATAACATGGCTAATTACCCTTCAGGGTCTTATAGATCTATATTATGAAT